TAAAACCGAATTTCCTGTTTATATTTTTTATAATACATTTATTTACTCGATACAATAGCAAGGCCATTACCCATTCTATTCCCATTCCCTTTCTCTACTCTACCCTATGGCGCCGAACTCATGCGCACCACCTGGGGCATGGGCAGGGTGTCCATGCGCTGCAGCCGTTTGCGCTTCTCGCTTGGAACACCAGAACCCCCAGTACCGCCCGTCGAGTCCATGCTGTCGCTTTGCGTCTCCACCAGCTTCACATGGGCTATGCTTTGGCCGAAGAGTTTCTGCCTAATGCTTGGCCTCTTGGCCCCACCGCTGCGATGCACAGTCGCCTCTGTAGTGGCACCAGACGCACGCGGCGCACGTCCTGGCCGCTCCCCGTGCGCATCGGCGTGACGCTGCCTATGGCGGCGCTGTTTCTTGCGATGCTCCCCGTTCGGCAGCAGCTCGTTAACGTAGTGCAGACTGCTCGTGGCGCTACCACTGCCGCTGCAGCTCTGCTGATCCACATCCGTGGGCGTGTGTCCGTGTCCATGGCCGTGCGAGTGCTTTAAACGCGAATGTTTTTCCTCCAGCTCGCTCTTGTTCTTCATGGCCACCTCCTCGAGATGTGCTTTTCCTGCAGAAACAAAAACAATAAAACAATTCTCAATTACTATTAAAATTAAAATAAAAAAATAACCTACAAACATGCCACGTTTGTGCTTATCCCTTTTGGCTAGGACCACGACCAAGGTGAAGTAGGAGAGCATAATGCCAGCAGGCACCAAAATCTTCACCGTGTTGTTCCGCATAGGTGCTCCTCAGATGCGGCGGTTTCAGCGAGTTTCAATACTTTAGCTCCTCGGCCCTGCCATCAAAAGAGAATTTGGAGAATGTAGTTCGAAATTTAGATACCAGTGGAGGGTGACAAACTCACGTTATATCTGGCACTCGACCTAGCTTTAGATCCGTCAAGTATGTGTTGTTGAATACCTCCCCCTCTTCATCTTCCATTGCCAGATTCGAGGAGGGTGCAGAGGGACGCTTGAATGGCTGCCAATCCTCGGTGGCGGCTGTGGCCGTGCTCGCTGTGGTTGCGCTGCCCGAGACAGTCAGTGTGGAAA